GCGTGAGGCAGGGGGGTTTCTGTCTCGTGCACAGTCATCTGCGGACGGGGCTCCCCAGCAGGAGCGGGAGGTTGTCCTCTGTGATGGGCACAGCCTGCTGGCACTCCCCCAGCTCTGCCAGGAAGGTGGATCTTCAGACTCTACAGACCAGAAGAGCTGGTGTCAGGCAGGGTGACATTATGAAAACTGAGGCACTGAAACATCTTCTCACCTGGGTAGAAGGCTGCACATCTCTGCATGGAGATGGGCCAAGGTGGAGACCTTTCTCTTAATTACCGCACTCTGTGGGTAATGTGTCAGGAATGACTGAAAGTCAGTATGCGCTTTCATATGGATCATGGGCATTAGATTTAAGAACGAGGTGATTCTGATTGGCTTGGGGAAACTGGCCTCTACCTGCCCTATTTGAAGGCTTTGATCAGGGGCTGCTATTCAGAGCATCGGCATCTTCAGAGGATGTGTCACAATCCCTGGCAGCACCCAGTGGCAGTCACTGACTCACCATGGTGCCTCCTGGGGCCGGGGAAGCTGTGCTGGAAGGAGAAAGTGGCCTCTGTACAGCTGTTTTCTTTAGACTTCTGCATCTTCTGGTTTGTATCCCGGTTAGATTTATGGACCCAGAACCTGAATGTTCTCCTGGGGATTTAACAATGAAGGAAACTGATGTATCCTGTGCCTAGGGGGGCAACAGTAGAGATCTGGAAGGAGCCAAGATTGGGAACTCAGGAGGCCCGTGGCCTACCACTGGCCCCGGCAGCTGGCCATGAATAATATAGTAGTTAAAAGATCAGTGAGCTTCTGGGGAGAGGTAGGACTTAGCCCAGGACTCTAAGGACAGATATGATTGAGGAAGTAGAGAGGGATTTGAAACACATTTCAGGGAAGGTGAATCACAAGTGCAGAGCCATGGAGATGGACGCAATAATACAATGAACACCTTGCCTTTGAGTAGTTCTTTGCGATACTTTACAGCTAGCTGTATTCTTCATGAGGGCAGGGGCATGCCTATTCCATTCACCAGGGCATGTCCAGTGCCCACCAGTGCCTGGCACATAGCAAATGCTTATTAAACACGTTTAAATGAAATGATTGCATGAAATCGATCCCAACAATGTTCCTATCAACATTGTAAGATAGGGTTTAAATGATCAAGGTGACAATTAGATGACCAACCCGGTGCTCTTAGTAAGAGTTCTACATTTCTGAATTGTAATAAAAGAGATATTATAGAGTGTTTGATCAGGTTAGACTCAACGTGGTATGTAGGAAAGGTGAAGGTGTCACAGAGAGGTCTTGACCAGAGAGATGAGAACAACAAAATTGCAAAATTGAAGGAAGCTGAGTATGTTCAAGGCTGACTTGAAAAGAAAGACTTGGAGGAGACAATAGCTGTTTTAAAATATTTGAAGGGTTTTCATGGGGATGAGAAATGGGATAGGACAAGAAAGGAACGAATGTTCACTCAACACATATGGCATATCAGGAGCTTACGTGGGTTGTCTTCCTTAATCTCCGTAGTCCCTTTTAGGTAATTATCCTCTTGAACAGATTAAGGAAGACTCTTAGCTGTTATGTAACTTACCTATGGTCATGCACCCAGTAAATGGCAAAGCCAGGATTCAGAGTTGAAATGTCTCAAAATATGTCTCTGAGCCCATGAGTTCCTTCTTTTGTGTAATGCCAGAGCACAGAGCTAGAATTAATGGTTGAAACTCTCTAAAAAGCAAACTTCAGCTCTTATTAAGAACACTTGAAGGAGCAGAGCTGTCTGACAATGGTATAGTTTGCTCCTACAATAATGAGACTCCGGTCACTAGCACTATTCAAAAAGAGGCTGACTCACAACCCACTGGCTAGGTGATAGGAGGAGTCCTATCACAGGAAGAGGTAAGGTTGAAGTGGCTCACAATGAAGGGCAAAGAACTCTTCCAACGTGAAATGTCTATGGAGTTTTAGGTTATAGTTTCTATTCAGAGAGCCGAGGTTGGATCTTGCCTTGTCTTTGAACAATGTAAAGGCTGGCTCCTTACCCTTTTACAGGCATTCCTATTTTTTTCAGTGTTTACTCAAGACTATTTAACTAATACTCATACTTTACTCAAGACTATTCAACTAGCACCCATACTTCTGAGTGGGCAACGACTCAAAAATATGGCAGAAGGAGGAAGGAGGTGGCTCTCTACCTAGTATTTAAAAAATAATTTAGACTTCTGTACAATTAATCACAAATAGCTCTTCTATTACCAAAGAACAGACCCCTTTTTCTTCTCCCAAAAGTCTCTCTCTTATGATCCATCTGTGATGTCCTCTCTGTCTAATTTTATATAGGGATAATGAAGACACAGAGTGGTGAAAAGAAGGTGATTTATATGGAACTATATTTAGGAGCCTCTTTTTCTTCAAAGGTCAACCGAAATCTTGAATGAAGGCTCCACATAAAACCCCTATGATGGCTCCTTTGGAAAAGATGGCTAATAAAGCAATTTTTAATGATTTTCTGTAATAATGGAAAATTTGATAAGCACAAACGCTTTAGTTTATAGTTATGACTTCATTATCTTTTTTACTTATCATATAAGCAGTAGGAATCTACTTGGGATGATAATTCACCAAGCAACTCTATATTCTTAATGTCCCTTCTGGAATCCTCTAAAATAAAAATATACAAAAAGAAAAAATTCATTAGAATTATAAGCAGAACTGGAGGAGAATCACAACTGAGTTTCAATAAATTTATGGAAGTAGAAAAGTGAATGGTAGAATGTTTATGAAAGAAACTGGTGCAGAAAGACACAGCCCAGACTGTGTTATGAAGGAGTGGCAGAGGTGAAGGCAGACCTGGCCATTGGAATGTGGAGAAGCTCTGGACTCAGAATTAGCAGGTGTAATAGAGGATTTTTCCCCAGTGCAATTAGATGACCAAGAAATAACTGTTGAATAAACAAATGAGAAGGGCCATATGAGTCCAGCTCTGAACTTTAGTAGCCCTTAGAAAAGTTTACAAACCATTCTGTTTGACTTCTTTATTTGGAAATAGGAAAGAAGGGGCAATATTGTTTAGAAATTCCAGAATTATAGTTGATTAAATCAAGTAACATGTTAAAACATTTAGCAAAAAAGTTTGGTTTATAGTGCACTCTACTGAATTAACAACTCTGAGAAGGCTGGGACTATGTGTGCCTTGATCACTTATATCACCAACCCAGCATAGTGCCTGGAGCATAGTAAGTACTCAATAACTATTTGTTAAGTGAACAAAAATTGAGAGAAAAGTACTAAAATGAAAGAGTCCTGGTCCACAATTAAGGGAAAATGGGCTGATTCCAGCCTATCTCTAGCTCTATAACTTTGGATCTTTTCTTTCTTTTTCTAATCTTCACCTGAGGATATTTTTTCCATTGCTTTTCAGAGAGAGTGGAAGGGACAGAGAGAGAAAGAGAGAGAGAGAATCATCAATATGAGACAGGCACATTGATAGGTTGCCTCCTGCATGTGTCCTCACCAGGGCCAGGGATTGAGCCTGCAACCGAGGTATGTGCCCTTGGCTGGAATCAAACCTGGGACTCTTCAGTCCACGGGCCAACACTCTAACTACTGAGCCAAACCCACGAGGGCTGGATCTTTTATTTCTATAGATTTAATATCCCATGAAAACTGAAAGGTATGCACTAGACAATAATAATCTTCATTTATTGAGTCCTCACCTTATATTTTGCACACATTATTTCTACTCTTCAATCCTGAAAGGTAGAAACTATTATCCTTGTTTTATAGACAATTTAAGCTTGAAAAGATTATGTAACTTGCTCATGTTAGACTGCTAGGCCTTTTTCATATTGAGACATAGATAATCATTACCAAATACCCTTAAGTGAATGACAACTGTTTTCAGTTCCTAGACCACTAGATACTGAGTTATGATTTGATGCATAATTAAAACAGACAAAAATAACTGTTTGCCAAACATGTATTATTAATTTTTAATAGTCCAATCATTTCAACAAGAATGTCTCCAAGGTAGTATCAATAGGCTTCAAAGGATTGTGGGCTGATGGTTCTTCTTAAGGGCCTATGGGAACTTGCCCATTTACAAATTTCTCCCTTTCCCTCCCCCAAACGCTCTCTGTGATCTCTTACTGGCCCTAGAGCAAGATAGATGTCTACAGGATCCTAAGTAGGTTTCCTCTCAGGTAAATTTAACAAAGGTAGTAATATTATGAAATTTGTTAAAGATTGGGGGAAGAGAACTGAGCCCTATAGACTACAGCAAACAGTTTTAAAATTTGAGTTCTGGAGTTGTTTGAGAAATACCTTACTTTTGCTTTATGAGATTTTAAGTGTTTATGGAGTTAACTGTAAAAAAAAAAGTCCGATTCAAATTCTAAGTCTTAAAGCTAAATCATATTCTTAAGAGATATTTCTTCCAGTTATGGCTGATTTCACAGGGATTTTTTTCTGTGTTAGTCAGTTTCCCTATACTATTCAAAGGTTGTAAAAATTCAGTCTCCTTTCAGAATCTGTGCTAATTATGCCACAAAAGATGAGAGGCTATTTGGAGGTAAATATTAATGTAGTTTAGGCCCAAGAAGAAATACCAACTTGAACACTAAAAATATCTAAACTCTCCACAAGATAGGTCAACCATTAAAAAAATACACCCAATTCTTTTGATTCACATCATATTATTTTTATTAGTTTTGAAAGCAATAAATTAACATGCCCCCCAAACAAAACTCCTTAAACAAGTTAAATGATGTTTTTAAAAATGCACACCACATCTACACCAAAGAGCAAAGACATCTTGCAGTAAAGAACTACTTGAGGAAGAATAAAGGGTAGAAGTACATGAAATGAGTATAGTTTAAGATTTTGGAAAAAAAGACATATGCTAACATAACAGAGTTTTCCCACAACCAAAAACATTTGAGTTATTTGGTACCCAGTGTTTCCCATTTTCCTTTGCAGAAGCTTTGGCAAGTGTTGGGATACTGCAGCATTTCTTAAGGGCGGTATTGGGATCTCTGCTCTTGGATGTACTCATAGAGGGGGCTGGAGCGCACTGGGACACTGGCAAACTGACGCTTGCCAGGCTCCAGAATCTGCTGACGGCCCTTGTCTTTTTCCTCCCGGACTTGGCCACGCCTCTGCGCCTCCTCCTGTTGGCGGAGCTGCTCTTCCTCCCGGAATTTCCTTTCCCGCTCCTGCCTGCGCCTCAGTTCTTGCTCCTCCTGCAGCTGCTGCTCTTCTTGGCGACGCAGCATCTGTTCTTCCCGTTCCTGGAGAAGCTGTTGATCTTCACGGAACTTTCTGTCCCGCTTCTGACGAAGCTCTTGTTCACGTTCCTGGCGGCGCAGCTGTTGTTCCTCTTCTCGGAGTTTTCTGTCGCGCTCTTGGCGACGCAGCTGCTGTTCTTCGAGTTCCTGGAGGAGCTGTTCCTCCTCACGGAATTTTCTGTCGCGCTCCTGGCGAAGCTCTTGCTCCAGTTCCTGGCGACGCAGCTGCTGTTCTTCCCGTTCTTGGAGGAGCTGTTCCTCACGGAATTTTCTGTTGCGCTCTTGGCGAAGCTCTTGCTCCAGTTCCTGGCGGCGTAGCTGCTGTTCTTCGAGTTCCTGGAGGAGCTGTTCCTCCTCACGGAATTTTCTGTCACGCTCCTGGAGAAGCTCTTGTTCGAGTTCCTGGCGACGCAGCTGCTGTTCTTCGAGTTCCTGGAGAAGCTGTTCCTCCTCACGGAATTTTCTCTCGCGCTCCTGGCGAAGCTCTTGCTCCAGTTCCTGGCGACGCAGCTGCTGTTCTTCGAGTTCCTGGAGAAGCTGTTCCTCCTCACGGAATTTTCTCTCGCGCTCCTGGCGAAGCTCTTGCTCCAGTTCCTGGCGACGCAGCTGCTGTTCTTCCCGTTCCTGGAGGAGCTGTTCTTCCTCACGGAATTTTCTCTCGCGCTCCTGGCGAAGCTCTTGTTCGAGTTCCTGGCGACGCAGCTGCTGTTCTTCGAGTTCCTGGAGAAGCTGTTCCTCCTCACGGAATTTTCTCTCGCGCTCCTGGCGAAGCTCTTGCTCCAGTTCCTGGCGACGCAGCTGCTGTTCTTCCCGTTCCTGGAGGAGCTGTTCTTCCTCACGGAATTTTCTCTCGCGCTCCTGGCGAAGCTCTTGTTCGAGTTCCTGGCGACGCAGCTGCTGTTCTTCGAGTTCCTGGAGAAGCTGTTCCTCCTCACGGAATTTTCTCTCGCGCTCCTGGCGAAGCTCTTGCTCCAGTTCCTGGCGACGCAGCTGCTGTTCTTCCCGTTCCTGGAGGAGCTGTTCTTCCTCACGGAATTTTCTCTCGCGCTCCTGGCGAAGCTCTTGTTCGAGTTCCTGGCGACGCAGCTGCTGTTCTTCGAGTTCCTGGAGGAGCTGTTCCTCCTCACGGAACTTTCTGTCTTCTTCCTGAAGGCGTTTTTTCTCCTCTCTTTCCTCCTTCAGCAGCTGCTCCTCCTCGCGCTGCAGCTGCTCGCGTTGACCTGGCTTGGCGTACAGCGTGTGGCGGCGCCTCTGGCTTTCCTCCTCTAGTTGCCACCTCCATTTTTGGTCCTGGAGCCGCTCCCTCTCGCGATCCTCTAGGAGGCGCTCTTCCTCCTGGAGCTGCTGCTCCTTCTTCCTCTCGAGTCGCTGTAGGCGCTGCTCATCCTCACGGAGCAGTGGCTCTGGCTCCTGAAGCTGCTCCGCCCTCAGCTGCTCCCGCTGTGCGGGCCTGGCCGACAGCCTCTGGCGGCGCCTCTCTCTCTCCTCCTCAGCCTGCCACTGCCACTTGAGGTCTCCGCGCTGCTCTTCCTCCTCCTGGCGAAGCCGCCTCTCGCGCTCCTCTCGGAGGCGCTGGCTCGGCCACTGGGCGTCCTCCTCCCGCTCCAGCTCCCGCAGCCTCTGCTCGCGCTCCTGGAGCCGCCTCTCTTCCTCTTCCTCCTGCTCCTGGCGGCGCCCCAGCGACTCTTGCCTGCGGGGCCTCGAGTAGACTTTGCTCTGCCGGGCGTCGGCCTCTCTTTCCAGCCTCCGCTGCCACCTCAGGGTGCGGCTCTGGCCCTGCTCACGGGCCTCTTCCTGCCGTACCTCCTCCTCAGCCAGCTCCTGCTCGCGCCTCTCTGCCTGCTGGCGCCTCAGCTCCTTCTCTCTCCTCAGCTCCTGCTCGCGCCTCAGCTCCTGCCTCAGCTCCTGCCTGCGCCTCTCTTCCTGTTCGCGCCTCAGCTTCTGTTCCAAGCGAGGTTCCTGCTCGCGCCTCAGCTCTTTCTCCCGCCTCAGCTCCTGCCTCAGCTCCTGCTCGCGCCTCTCTTCCTGTTCGCGCCTCAGCTCCTTCTCTCTCCTCAGCTCCTGCTCGCGCCTCTCTTCCTGCTGGCGCCTCAGCTTCTGTTCCAAGCGCGGTTCCTGCTCGCGCCTCAGCTCTTTCTCTCGCCTCAGCTCCTGCCTCTCTTCCTGCTGGCGCCTCAGCTTCTCTTCCAAGCGGGGTTCCTGCTCGCGCCTCAGCTCTTTCTCTCGCCTCAGCTCCTGCCTCTCTTCCTGCTGGCGCCTCAGCTTCTCTTCCAAACG